TGCAGGAAACTAGGCACATCTGGCTGAATACACTATTGGGGCACACGCAGCGGATGTTCACGCTTACTGATTATGGCACTGGTGATTGGTTGACGGTGATTCCCATCATGTCGACGCGTTGTATCGGCCCTGTTCATTTTGTAAACGCAGTCCGCTTCAGGCTAGGGTTACCCTTCTCCACGTTGGCGAACTGTGACTATACCGAGCATACGACTATCACGACCCACACTTTCCACATCACCTTTTCCGCTGCGACACGGACAAGCACCGCATAAACATCCAAAACAAACTTCGTGATGCTTGTATCCGCATGGCCCAAGATGTGGGCTTCCTTATGCATGGGGAAACAGCCGAATAACCGACCGCCAACTTCACCATGCGGGATATGAGCAGTGGGGCGGTATGGGTGTGTGATGTAACAATCATGGACACCCTCTGCACCAGGGATCCTAGAGAAACGAAGGGCAGGGGATGGGCAGCAAGTGTTGGTGCAACCCTACGGTTTGCACTCGGCTGTCAGAATCCCAACCACTAGACCATTGGGATAAAAGGGCTTGTTTCAGTAGCGGGTCAGTGCGCCCATAACCCCCCAGGCGAACGCGCTTGTAACCCTCTCCAGGATCAATCGGGCATCCACAGTGCAGATCTACTAACACCCCCCCACACTGGGAGGCCAAGGACTAAGCACAGCGCCAACAGCCTACATGTGCATATACCGGGAATCGAGCCCGAGACCGCTCTGATACCATGTCAGAATCCCAACCACTAGACCTTTGGGATAAAAGGGCTTGTTTTTGTAGCGGGTCAGTGCGCCCATAACCCCCTAGGCGAACGCGCCTGTAACCCTCTCCAGGATCAATCGGGCATCCACAGTGCAGATCTACTAACATCGGCTTGTTGTCCGTGTATGTGCATGCGTGTGTGCCTTGAATGGTATGGGGGCATGAAATAATATACATATTTCATGCTTATAATAGTGTGTATATGATGTCATGATGTTGAGTGTGTGTGTTGAGTCAATAGTGAGTTATCGCTAGCCGCCTGTTAATGCGGTCATTTGTGTCTCGCGCGTGGTTTTTTTGTGTCGTGTTTCTCGTGCACGGTTTCTATTTTATCGTGTGTCCAACGTTCGGTGTGTCACCGGTGTGTGCAGCAGACCCATCAAGAACTCAAGGATGAGTTTTGTGATGAAGAACCGGAGCCTTGGTTCAAGCTTCAAGTGATTTCGAAGCTCGCCAAAAGGGTACACCTCAAGACAGTGAAGATATTTACATTACTTTGTGTAGTGTAACATTCCCTTTGGTGTAGGCCCTCGTGAAGGGTAGTTTCGAGACCCTTCTTGGTTGGGGACAGTGTGGCGCTGTTCCACATCACTTTACCTCGGCTCTTGGGGTTTCTAGGAGCTAGGAGTCATTCCCAACTCGTAACTCTTCGTAGTTCTTCCTTATTGTGTGTTTCTAAGACTATGTTGCTGCCATAGTGCCGTTCGTTCAAACCGACGCTGTGTCGTCACTACTTGATGAAATTGCCTAATGTAGAAGACGTCAAGACGCTCCAAATCCAAGTTGAATCAGGTTAGTTGGAGCTGTGACCAGATCGCTATGAACGTTTAAAGCCGCTGTGCAGAAATCCGACTGTGCACTCTATCTTTCGTTTTAGGCACATTGAAGCCTATTGTGTGTATAACAGCAAGGGAGCAGGCCGACAAATAGACAAAGCACTACGCCAACAGACAAGAGACTGTGGGTTTCTTCCCCATGGCCGTCCAGACATATTGCTGCCATGTGCTGAGGTATCTGTCTTTCTGAAATGGCTAGCAGACACAGCAGCTCGGCGACAGTTTAACGCCGACCTTAAGTCATTTCAGGCTGCTAGATTCTTGCACCAGTTTAGGCAGGGATAGACTGAATCCCTCGTCCTCACTGCGGCATCTGGCAGTGCTGCAGGGGCTGCAAGATAGTCAGCGGTGGCTCGGACCAGGGCTGGCACCTGCCCACGGTGGACCACTGGTAGGGTGGAAGCACCAGTAGATCCCGCGCAGATTACGTCACGACGAGGCGACTAGCACTTGCCCGTCATTGGGAGGGCAGGGATAGACGGCAGAGCCTCACGAGCTTGGCGATCAACAGGAGGAGGCAGCGGAGAATACAGCCGCGCAGGAAGAAGAATGGCTTATGGTTGAGACCGATCGGCGGCGAGGCAGCAAGGCAAGGCAGATGCTGCTGAGAGAACGCGCGGCGGAAAAAGGCATTGGAAAAGGCGCTAGCAATGAAGTAAGAAGAGCGCCGCGAGCGCAAAGGGGAAGAATTGGAAGAGGGAACTGCGGAAGGGGAGGGCGAGGGGGCCTAGCGGCAGGTGTGGCGAGGGAGAAAGCCATATCTTATACCTGGCGGGAAAGATATGGGAGACCTGAGAGACAGCACTGAGAAGAACCAATGGATGAGTGTGAGAATGACGAGGATGAGGAATATACGGAGGAGGAACAAGAAGACTCGGAGGATGTGTCATTGGAAGAGGAAGGAGGAATCCCTGGTGATGCCTCAGATCAAGGAGCAAGAAGGTGTGAAAATAGGTAGGTAACGATAGTAGCCATAGCTAGGACTTACCTAGCTAGGCAAGAAGAATTTAGGCAAAAGAGAATTGTACTAGCAAGCAATGGGATACAAATATGAAACCCTAAGGGGTTATACTCGCTATAGAGTACCCCACTGCAGGCTAGATAACAAATATGACATTCTGACACACCCCCATAGCCAAAGTGGGGTGTAATCAGTAAAGCAAGCAAAACAGAACAAGCTCAGGGTGGATCACAATGTCACCACACAGTCTGAGCACAAGTTCAAGCAGCAGTAGTATAAAGTTCACAGTTATAAGCAAAGCTAGAGGTAGTCACAACGGGCAAGTGAGGAGGAGGAGAGAGACTGAGAGGAGAGGAGATAGGAGGCGACGGATGAAGCTGCAGACACACGGGCAACAGGAGGCAGACTGGCACAGCGGCTACCGGACGAAGCCCCCAGACTACAGGAGTAACTGGCCCCGCGGCTAAAGTAGCGGCAGACGAGCAACGGACCCACGGGCGGCTGGCACAGCTGGCTACGACTGGGCTACCGGACGAAGTCCCCGGACTACAGGTGCTGCTAGCGACACATCGGCATCCTCCATTCAGCTTCCCCAGACTGTCCTACTCCCCTTGGCACACACCCACTGCTACACCGCTAGCTCTCCTGCCCTTCCCCCCCCCTTAGTATCACTCCACCGGCTCCACCACAATCACCCCCCCCTCAGCGGCAGATGCAGCACAAGGAGACGGAGGAGGAGGAGGAGCAGGGAGTGGTATTGAGGAGGGTCACCCCCATACCCCTCACCCCCAAACCCTAAAGTAGGAGAATGGGGAGTAGGAGGGGTAGGGCGGTAGTAGAGGGACTGGGAACAGCGGGGAGGGCAGGGAAGGTAGGAAACGGGCCCACCACGGGCCTGGTAGGGACGCCCGAGCCGCGCGGATGCGGCCCGAGCCGCGCGCGGGTCGGGCGTCTCCCGTACGGGCTGCGCGACGGCCTGGCGCAGCCCGTACGGGCCGCGCGCGGGCCTGGCGCAGCCCGTACGGGCCGCGCGCGAGCCTGGCGCAGCCCGTACGGGCAGCGCGTGGGTCTGGCGCAGCCCGTACGGGCCGCGCGCTGCCTGTACGGGTCGCACAGAGGCCACGACGGGCGACGGGGGGCGACGCGGAGGTCCCCGTCACCCGTCACAGCGCCTCCCGGGAGCGGCGCGCGGCGTGACGGGGCAGAAACCCGCCGCGCGCCTCGGGGCGCACGGCGGTAAGGGAAAGTAGTAGTTGCAGCGGAAGGAACGTGGTTAGGCACACAGGCCAGGAGCGTACTGCTCTGATCACCATGTGAAAATAGGTAGGTAACGATAGTAGCCATAGCTAGGACTTACCTAGCTAGGCAAGAAGAAGTTAGGCAAAAGAGAATTGTACTAGCAAGCAATGGGATACAAATATGAAACCCTAAGGGGTTATACTCGCTATAGAGTACCCCACTGCAGGCTAGATAACAAATATGACATTCTGACAGAAGGGGGGTAAACAATGCTAATGGCAACGAGGGAGAGTCACGTGGCGTTCAACCCAACCAGGCAGCCAGTAAAGCGAGATTGCCTGCAGATATTGCCGTTCACTCAGATGCATGACGGCACGTGGAAGAGTGGGAACTGGGGCCATTGTACAGTAGTGCCCAGCCCTTCCTGCTTTGGAAGTTAACCCCCAAGATCCTGGGAGTCTACACCTACTGTTTGACGATCCCCCTCCATCGCTTGGCAAAGGTTCCTAGTTGCATAGGGGCATGGCATGTCCTACAGTTCCTACCGAGGCTGACCCTTCTTGCCGAAACTGAGAACGTTTCGGGAAATCGCTGGGCCGCGGTTGAGAAACAGCTACAGCAATTTCAAGAGGAGGAATGGGAACAACTATTTTCATAAGCATGTACGGTTCCCCCAAACTCTCAACCCACCAGACACCAACCAAACCCCGAAGGCATGTGTGCCAGAGTAGAGGGCCTAGTGAGGAAAGCAAGCTTGGTGAAGGTGTTGACGGCGTTATAGACCACCCTACTCGTGCAGCAATCACCCACGACACTCGCAACGCTTCGCGTCAAACATCCAGAGGCAGGGGAGGCAACACCAGGATGGGTTACCGGATACACAACCTCGTCACCTATCAACTAGTTTCAAGGAATCTCGCAAAGTGTTGGCTAAGTGTTCGAACGGGACCGGTGCTGGACCATCTGGTACGAATGGAGGTCCATCGCTAGTGAATGGAGAAGTCATTACCCTTTGGCTTCAAGCTATCAACACGATGCTGGGCACATACCTAAGCGAGCCGCTACGAGACCTGCTGCTACCTTCTAGATTGGTAGCACTAGAAAAGTCAAGAGGAGGGGTCACACCTCGACCCCCGTGGGTCCCCCTTCCCTACCCCCCGTTGTCGCGACCTAGGCGCGCTCATGCGCATGCACGCTAAGGCCGCTCATGCGCGCCAGAAAGGCCCCCTCGCGGGCCCGTTAGATCGCCTCCCCAACCCCTCTTTCCATCACCTCTTGCCCCATTTCGTGTCACCTCCCCGTTGCCAGTTCGCATCGCGTCCCCATTCCCCCCTTTTTCTGTCGCCTCCCTGTCCCCGTTTCTCATCGCCTTCCCGTCCCCTTTTCCCGTCTCCTCACATCACCTCCCGTTGCCAGCCCGTCACCTCCCGTTGCAAGATCGTCCCCTCCCCGTCGTCAGCCCGTCCCCTCCCTGTCGCCAGCCCGTCCATATCTCGTCGCCTCCCCCTTCCCTCCCTACAGCTTTCCCGTCGCCTCTCCATCCTGTACCCGCCGCCCTACCCTGTACCCGCCGCCCCGCCCTGTACCCGCCTCCCCACCCTGTGCCCGCCGTCCTACCCTGTACCCACTGCCCCACCCTTTACCCGCCTCCCCACCCTATACTCGCCGCCCCACCCTGTGCCCTCCAAGCCCACCCGCCTACCTGAACCACTCCCCACCGGACTAGACCCCTCTCAACTTCCCCAGTACCGCACTAAACTGCTTCCAACAGCGCTCAACTGCACTAGACCGCTCTAAACTATAACCGTACCCTTCTTCTCTACCCATGCCCACGCCAACCCCACCTGCTACCTACCACCGCAAGAAACCGCTAGAATTAGAACCGCTCAGAACCGCTCTAGACCTCAGAATCGCTCCGCACCTCTTTAGACCCTTCTTAACCAAACAGTACCACACTGAACCCCTTCTTACCGCTCACAACGGCGCTCAACCACACTTGACCGTACTAGAACGTTACCCATAATTGTACCCGTATTCCCTACCCTTACTGCCACTCGTACTCGTGCTACCCCACCTAGAAGGCCCTGCGGCCCCCAACTAGAAGGCCCCGTCTCCCTCCGCCCCCTCCGCCTCCCCCCCAACTAGAAGGCCCTGCCGCCTCCCCTAGGTAGAAGGCCCTGTAACCCGAACCCGCTACCTGCTACCCATACCTGACCCTACTACCCATACCCGAACCTCGTTTCTAACTTCTTGATTGTCGTATACTAGAGTTCTTAAGCAGCAGGGCCAACCGCAGCGACAGCAGCCGCAGCCCTTCCGGCAATAGGGACCTCAGGGTCCAAGGCGTGGTGGCTACAGCAGCGGCTCAGCCAGCATTGGGCAAGCCGCCGGTCCCTGGCTTGCCCTAGTGCTGGCACTACCACTCGGCGTCCCGCTACTACCGTCACCTTAACAATCTCCAATGTGAACGTTTTGGTCCTGACGCTATTACACCGCACTGCCCTTAGCGTCTTTGCCAGGGCACTATTGCACCAGTTGAGTCTTACCTACATGGTCTAGGACCTTTCTTGACTGCATGAGAAGAGATCTGTGTGTCCTGTCTTAGTGCTTGTACAGTTTCCAGTCCAGGCGCCTCTGAGAGTCTTACTATGGGAGATGCAGCTACCTCTAGTCTAGTACCAGCCTTGGTTACTGGCTCAGGTGCAACCTCATCGGCTGCACAAATTTCCTTCACCCTATACTCTGAAGTGTCCACTTGTTTCTTTCGCGACTGCACCGACCTCACGCCACTGTACACTCCAGTCACTGTCGCCTTGGCTGATCCCTCTGTGGGACCTGTAGTTGCCCACAGAACCACCACACTCCCGTGTCCAACAACTCCCTATGGGTTTCTTACAGGTTACTTCACCCCTTCATTTTAGGAACTTGGTGGGTGCCATTCACCTCCACGACTTCGGTATACTCACTACTTTTCCTCTGGACGAGCTTGTTGCCTCTTATATAGTCGATGCAACTGGGGCACCTCTGGCCACTTTCCACAGGGAGCCGGGCTCTGGTCTGTACTCCCGAGTTAAGTCATTTAAGGCTAGGTCAAGTAGCTGCTATGTCGTGCGACTATCGGTCACTCAACCACGCATCGGTCCTCTGGCACCACCGTCTAGGTCACCCGTCTTTCCAGCATCTCAGTAGGATGGTACGTTGCCGTCTGCTCTTAGGTCTCCCAGCGACGCTCGCCCCGCTTCCTCACTCGCCTACGCCGCCGTACTCTCCTTGTGTCGAAGGTCGGCAGCGCGCTGCCCCTTACAAGGGGTGGTGCTCATGGCCTTTGTGGACTCCGTCTACACTCGGACTGTGGTGATAAATTTGCCTCCACTCACCTGCCAGCATTCAGTGGGGCTCAGGGGATCAACCAGTCCAACACACTACTAGCCTCACCACAGAAGAACAGTGTGGCCGAGCGGCGCATCGGTCTGGTCATAAAGGTTACACATTCCTCCATGTGCCATGCTAATGCCCCCTATTTTCTATGGCCCCAGGCCGTCCGCTACGCCGCGCACCAGCTAAACCTGTGGCCCAGTGACGCACGCCCACGGGTGACTTCCTTCGGATAGAGTTGCAAGGTGTAGCAGCTGACTACCGAGTCTAGGGCTCCCTAGCCCACATTTGCGCCCCTGGCGCGAACAAGTTGTTTGCTCGCACACATCCCTGTGTCTTCCTTGGTTTCCCCCTAGACGCCTCTGGATGGGTGTTCAATGACCCACTTACAAACGACTTCTTCAGTTCCCATGACGTCACTTTTGACGAGTCAGTCTGTTACTACAGGAGTTGTCCCCACCAAGGTATTTGGCCTTTTCCCCCCCGCTGTTCCTCATCTCGCTTTCCCCCCAAGTCGCCCCGGTAGCCACCCTCCCTCCCACCCCCCCCCCCCCCCCCCCCCCCCCCCCACACCTTGCGTCCTACCTGGTCAGGTGTGTCGCACGTCACTCCGGAGTCGTCTTCCCCTTAGCGTTTAATCCATCTCATGATTGGGGGTGCGGGAGGTGTAGGTGTGGAGGCTGAGGGTACTGTAGCTGTTGGAGCTGGTGGTCCTAGCTCTGGGGGTGCAGGGGGTGTTGGCGTGGAGGCCCATCCTGTCGAGGACACGGCAGCCTCGAGTCGGCGCACTCACCCCACCTCACCTTCTGGCTTCATGTCCGTTTCCCAGTTCCCTCCTCGTTTGCTTCTGCAGTCAATTTCTGCGGAGCATGAGGGTGGTCTTGCCAGAGGTGCTGGGGGCACTGAGGGTGTCACTGATGGAGGTTCTTGTTCTAGGGGTGCTAACGCCGAAGGAGCAGGCATGCCGGAGCCTACACCGTGCGCTGTACATCTCCAGACCTGTGAGCAGCGCCTTCTCTGGTTGGAGAGGGAGGTGCAGGAGATGTTTGAGAGGGAACGCCAACAGCATTCTCATTCGTGGAGTCTAGAGAGGGAAAAAAGGGGAGCCACTGCCACATCAGCAGGTACAGTTGCAACCACAGCGGGAGAGAGTAGAGGAGGAGTCACGACCACAACAGCACATGCACGTGCATCAGCAGCAGGAGAGAGTTGAGAAGGTGTCACGATAGCAGCTGCAGGTGCAGTTATAGCTACAGTAAGAGAGGGTAGAGCGGGAGTTCTGGCAGCAACAGCAGGTGCAACTTCAGAAGCAGCAGGAGAGGCCAGAGGAGGTGATACACCCGGTGCGACAAGAGCAGCAGCAGGGGCAGTTGCCGCAGCAGCAGCCGCCAGAGGAGGCGAAGCAGCAACGACTGAGAGACCTGCCTGACTCAGCACTTGCACGCTTTGTTCGTGGTCCCCTTCCGTTCCCCCCCCCCCCCCAAACATTCCCCTTGACCAGTCCCTTTCCTTGTCTCTGTGGTCTTGTCGTTCTCCTTTTAGTCGAGCAGTGTCCCCAGAGCCTCGTCGGTCTCGCTACTGTGCCGACAGCTCGTTTCACCTTTTTCTCCGCTCTCGTGTTCCACCTCTTCCACAACCTCCTGAGTCGTCCTTCACTGAGTTTCACGACCCTTTGTCCGACTACCTCCGTGCCTCTTGCTCTGTCATCTCCTATGTTCTATCTGCATTTGTCACTCAGCCGACTGCCCCTCCACTTTGTCACTACTGTCAGTGCCTTTGCCTCTTCTCACCACCTTGACTACGCTGCTCACCTGGTGAGTGGCACTGCTCGTTCTTTGTCCTCTGCGGGTGCCCATGTCTTTCCCTCGAAGGTCTTCAAGGACAGGTAGTTGAAGCTTGGTTTCTTGGTGGCACTGTTCCCCATCTCTGCACCATGCTGCTCGCCCCTAAGGGGAATTCAGACGCCCTTAACATCCCAATCCCTCGCACTCACGCCAAGGTGGTCTCGAGACCTTGTGCTTTGTACTAGATAGCAGCGGAGGAGGCAAAGAGGGCATCTTATAGGTCCACAAGCACCTACGTCGACGCCGACCCACCACGTGGGACGAACGTCGTCAGTGGCATGTGGCTCTACAAGGTGAAGCGGCTGCCTAGATCACCACCTATATTCAAGGCGCATTATGTGTGACCATAGGAGTTTTTTGTTGGCATCGTCCTCACTTGGGCGGAGCCGACTACGTCGTTGGGTGTGCGGGGCGTGCAGCCGACTTGCAATAGTGGGCGATGGCAACTTGGGCGAGCTGGCCGATAGGTTGGTTGACCTGCACGGGGCCACTGCAGAGCCGTCGACTTTGGAGAGCCGGCGGTCGACTTCAATCTGGTGGTCTACGAGGGGGGACGACGACTTGGGAGGGCGTCGACTTGGTGTGGTTGGCTAAGAGTGGTACTGGTCGATTAGGAGATGGTCGACCAAGGGTGTGGTCGACTTGGTGTAGTCAACCGGTGGTGGTCGTTGACCTGGGTGGTCGACGAGCACAAGGAGAAGGAGCTGGTCGACGTGGGTGCCCGGTCGACCAGATTACCTGGGCGATGGGGTTCTATGGAAGAAGTGCAAAAATTGCCCAGGTGGATCCTACGAAGTCAACCTCGGAAGTGGTATCCCGAGGTCGACGTAGCTGATGTGCGCAGTTGATGGCGCGTTCTCGGCCTGGCGTCTCCGCTGTGCACGTGACGGGGCGTGGCACACAAACCAGCCGCACACACGTGCGAAGCAGGTGCAACGCTGTCATGCGGGTGCAACGTTGTGCAACTGCCTTGCTGCAGCGTTGGCACGCCGTGGACTTGCAACGTTGGCACGGCGCATCTCTGCGGGGCTGGAGCGGTGCGAGCTTGGCTGCGCTGGAACGCGGTCGACCATGATGCGCTGGAGGTCAACCTGCATGCCTCCTAGCTTGATGTAGTCTCTCTTGTCAATGTTGTTGAAATCATTCCAAACCATCTTTGTGAGCTTGCGTAGTGGAACTCTTGCCAATTTCTCTTGTGAATGAATTAGCAAGTAGAGTGAGCAAGTAAGCGACTAAGGAACGAATGCTACAATCACTCCTACCCCGTACCTACCCCATGGTCTAACTCCCGGTAGAGTAGTTATCTCTGCAATGTGGCAAGCAGCTTCAGTCAGCACGAGGGAGTACACTTCTTTCAGGCCTTTTTTATAGGCACAGTAGGCTTGAATGTGGATAAACCGAAAGATAGAGTGCGCAATCGGATTTCTTCACAGCGGCTTTAAACATTTATAGCGATCTGGTTAGAGCTTCAAATGAACTGATTCAAATTGGATCTGGAGCATCTTAACGTCATCTAACCCCTAAACCCTGATTTGATCAAGTATTGATGATGCAACATCAGTTTAAACGAACGGCCCTATGGCGGCCACTATAGTCTTAGAACTCTGATTAGGAAGAGTTACGAGTTGGGAATGACTCCCAGCTCCTACAAACCCCAAGAGCCGAGGTACAGTGATGTGGAACAGTGCCACACTGTCCCCAACCATGAAGAGTATCGAAACTACCCTCCACAAGCGCCTAAACCAAAAGAAATGTTACACTACACAAAGTAATGTAACTAT